ATTTTTTAAAAAGTTACTGCATATGGTGAACATATTTTGATTACCAAAAACCAGGACACATGGCCCAGAGAACAAATGATACTCGAAGTTTACTCAAAGATGCCTTGTTAATTTCAATACAATTAAAATAGGCTATGCCCCCTCTGTGGATAGAAAATTGTTGTATTAAGACACAAAATCAGATAGGCTTCTCAGAGGATACTCAACATGTTTTATTATGACAGGTTGGTTTAAAAAATAATGAATGAAATAATGATCAAAAAATAATGTCTCTTCTGTATTAGAAAAAATAAATATATCAATATTAATTAACTAAAAGAAATACCTTCAAATTGAACAAAAATACCTCTCACAAACGTACAAAAACGAACTAGTTTCCTTCCTCTTTATCCCGTTTTTCCTCCTCATCCTCCTTGTCTGCTCATCTCCTATATTTTGCTATAAAGCTGATCTTTTCCAGCGTTTTTTTTTTTTTTTTAAAACCAGGACATCACTTTATAAAAAACGGCCAGGAAGGACGTGAAAACAGGACTGGGATAACAGGACTGTTGGTCACTGGTCACGCTATTGCTGCATAACTTCTGATTTTGAAATAAAAATAGCGAGTGTTTGTGGTACAGCTCACGCAATGCAAACGCAGCATATGTGAAAGCACTTTAGCGCGTGCGGCTCCTGTACCGGATACGCACCGCAACACTCACCGCATACGCACTGCAAACGGAGTATGTGTGAAACGGGCGTAACTTCTGATTTTGAAATAAAAATAGCGAGTGTTTGTGGTACAGCTCACGCACTGCAAACGCAGCATATGTGAAAGCACTTTAGCACGTGCGGCTCCTGTACCGGATACGCACCGCAACACTCACCGCATACGCACTGCAAACGGGGAAGTGTGAAACGGGCGTTAGAGTACAGTAGTGTGTACAGTTAGAGTACAGTAGTGTGTTAGAGCAGCGATTCCCAAACTGTGGTCCGCGGACCACTAGTGGTCTGTGAGGGTACTACAGGTGGTCCGTGAAAAGGCAAAATAAAATATAAAATATTTTACCAAGAAATTCCTATTAAAAAAAAGAGTAAAAAGAATATGTAGGCATATATTTATATAAAATGTCAATTAAATTTTCAAGCTGTGTGATTACTAAAATAGGCTAGTGGCGCTCGGCCGTGTCGTTCAAGCTCCGTGTTGTCAGAACCACAACACCGGATCGGTGGATAGCAACAGGTTAGGTGAGCATTTTATTTAGTTGTTTGTTTTTAATATAGGTCTATATTAGACAGACGATACAAAGAGGAAGGGAAAGATGTGGAGGGTGACAAAGGAGGATATTACGTTCATATCGGGCTAGCAAATAGACTCCAATGGCTTTTCCTTTTGACAACTTTATTTTAACGTTAGGCCTATGTTTTCATTAAATGTGTAACGTTATAGGGCAGAGGCAAATATGTTCTCATTATCAAATCACATGCATAGCCTTTATAGGCAGTTTAGGCCTATATGAAACAAAATGTTTATAAACGGAATGAATAAGGCCTGTTATTATTTTAATTTCCAGTTAACATTAGTTTCTTGATCTTGTGTTTCTGAAATGTTTTGCGGATGTGCTGTTAAGTGGACAAACTCAAGCCTACTTTTTGAGGACTTGTAGAACTCTGAATATTAACGTTAATAATCCCCTAAAATCGCCAAAGGTTTTGAAATGCTGACTATATCCAAGTGTTCTTATTACTGTATAGATTTCATACTCCATTGCTATGGAAATAAGCCTGTTGTTCAAATTAACCTGATTATAATAAGTAAAATATAATATAATTTTTAATATCATAATATATGTATTATGAGGGGGTCCGTGAAAATTCTTGATTACAAATAGTGGTCCACACACACAAAAAGTTTGAAAACCCCTGTGTTAGAGTACAGTAGTGTGTTACAGTAGTGTTACTGTTAGAGTACGTTAGTGTGTTACAGTAGTGTGTTAGAGTACAGTAGTGTGTTACAGTAGTGTGTTAGAGTACAGTAGTATGTTACAGTAGTGTGTTAGAGTACAGTAGTGTTACAGTAGTGTGTTTTAGTTTGTTACAGTCTCTGTTTCCTGTTATCACTGTAAAGTGGCTTTGGAACAATCTACATTGTTAAAAGCGCTGTTTAAACAAAAGTGACTTGACTTGACTTGACACACACACACACACACACACACTCTCTCTCTCTCTCTCTTTCTCTCACACACACACTATCTCTGTCTCTGTCTCTCTCTCTCTCTCTCTCTCTCTCTCTCTCTCTCTCTCTCACACACACACACACACACCTCTCTCTCTCTCTCTCTCTCTCCCCCCCCCCCCCACACACACACAGTTGTGTCATACATTAATCTTCCACTCGTTGATGAATGATCTATTGTGTTTATTTTCTTCATTGTTTCTGTCGCTGCACTTCCTCCTGCTGAAGGTCATCTTCATATATATATATATATATATATATTTTTATTATTATTATTTATTTCAGGCAATGGCACAAAAGTACAAGGCAGACAAAATGTTTGTTAAGTCATACAGTGCAAAAAGAAACAAGAAACAAACAAAAAAACACAAAAAAACAAAAAAAACAAAAAAACAAAAAACAAAAAAAACAACAACAAACAAAACAAATCGAATTCTACCTGAAAGGGAGTGGGAAGAAGAAAACTTATTTAATCCCACCCCAGTTCACCACTTGGTGATTAATACATTAAGCTTCATGTTTACTTTGGTCACGGATTGTTTACATAGGTTGTATCATGGTGGCGTTACCACAGTCACAATAATTTATTATAACAACTTTACCAAACAATTTAAGAAGAATAAACAATACCAACTATGGTAATGAACAATATACCAATGATGGTAATGGACAATATACCAATGATGGTAATGGACAATATACCAACGATGGTAAGGAAACATTGAGCACATGTTAACATTATAAGACAGAGTACAACATCAATATAAATTAAAAATCCTCCTCTCTGTATTTTAACCAGACCCTATGTTTATATGACAATTTAAATTGATGGATAGTTTGACATTGCTTTTGTTGTAAGTCCAGTTTGTTCCAGAGTTTCACTCCACATACAGACACACAATAATGTTTACGAGTAGTTCGGGCTCTTGGTAACGAAAAATATCCAAAGCCTCTCAAGTTATGAGCTCGCACAGGAATTTGAAAAAAACGTTGTAAGTTAGGCGGTAATAAGTTGTTAAATGCTTTATAGAGGACTATTGTTGTATTATATTTTACAAGATCATCGAGTTTTAACAAATTTGACTGCTTAAACAGCTTATGAGTATGTTCTAAGTAACCAACCTTATGAATGACCCTCATGGCTCTTTTCTGTAATAATCAGAGGATTTATTGTGTTCTGATAATTATTTCCCCACACTTCAACACAATACATAAGGTATGGTAGTACCAAAGTGCAGTATAGGGTACGGAGTGCATTTTTATCAAGGTATAGTTTTGCTTTGTTTATAATTGAGAGGCTTTTGGAGATTTTTCTTTTAATGTGTCTGACATGGGGCTTCCAAGACAATTTACTGTCGATTATTACCCCCAAAAATGTATACTCACTCACAATTTCAATTTGGGTATCACCAATACTTATTCTCTGTTCAATCAGTTTGCTACGATTACCAAACATCATTATTTTAGTTTTGTTTATGTTCAAAGATAATTTATTTGTATCCATCCATTTTTTTTATTATATTTAATTCCCTGTTTACCACATTTACGAAACATATTCATCATCATCATAATCACTATGTCACATGACCGGCTTCACAGGGACACCAGGAGATAAAGCTCTTTCCTGACCCCACATTAATCATTACAGAATAATAGACACATTTACAGCACAATGATTTATAAAACGATTTTAAGAAACTTATTAATAAAATCAGCATTTCTGTTTATGGGTACAATACTTTTACCATTATATGAACTGAAGTCTCAGCATATCTGAGCATATATTATATTTATACAGCAGGTTAATCTGTAAAAATATGACGTAAAAGATTAATAATTAAAAGAACAAAAACTGAATTGTTTGTTTGATTTTACTACATAATATTTCTTTATAACTTCATGACTGCAAGATTTATTTAGTACCCAGGATCCAATAATACATATACTGTATATATTTATATCCAATATTGCGAATGTTGCTGGAAACGACTGATCTCAGTGATAAAACACTTCTATTCTCACTCATAATCTTATTTTATCTTTTTAATGACGTTTCATGTAAGCATAAAGTCTGAAGGTTATGTTAAATTGTTTTATGTCATGCTTGACAAAATGAGACATTATAAAGAAAACAGACATTTCCGCATATTCCACATATACTTCATTCTTATCCATCAATAATTTACAGTTCAGATCAATGTGACCTTGGCATTATTAAGTTTCAGTTTTCTGTGACACACAGAGGAAGGAGGAAGCAGATATTTCTGGAAACGGGATTAAAGTTTGTGAGTCGTAACAGTTATGTGAGGAGTGATCGGGAGCGGCAGGACAGAAACTCTTCATCCTTCATTATGTGACATCAGTATTTTTTGTCCAAGGTGTCAATCAAAGAAATTATGAACACATCCCAAAAAATGTGTTTTCCTTCCCTTTTCTTCTTTGCTCAGTAAAATAAAGCCTGTAGGTATACTCCTATCAAACCGTGACCAGGCTTTATAGTGCGTTATACTCTTATATTTAACATATTTTGATGGTTTAGTCAAACTTGTAGAACAACACCCTCTCTTGACCTCTTTTTTTTTACCAATACTGTATTTATCCGCATAAAATCATGATAATCAGATTTCAATAAGTGAAGAAGAAAATAGGTCATGATTCAGTGCATGAATCAGAATGGAGCGAGAGAGTGTGTGAGAAACAGGAGTGGCTGTTCAGCTCACTCACACACACCTGTGAACATGACATCATCACCATCCTCACCATCCTCACCAGTGCAGTCTATATAAGAGCAGAGGAGGCTCACACACACACACACACACACGGACTCAGGGATCATCATGAAGGGTTTGATCACAGGCTTCTGTGCGCTTCTGCTGCTGTCCTCTTCTTCTCTGGCGCAGGTACACACACACACACACACACGCACAGTGTAGTTATTGTTATGACAGTTAGTTGAGTTCCACAAACTGATTGAAAAACTGATTTTGATTTTTACAAACACGAAACTCTACATCTATTTATAATAATTAATATAATGTAATCAAATGCAATGTAATGTAATTTAATGTCATACAGTTTTTTTCGATTGCTGAACGGCAGTGAGCACAACTGGAGCTACATGTGCAAAACTCTAACTACAGTCTGCACAGCAGCAGTTCATGTGGACCAAACTCTAGTTCGTTCTTCATTGCTTGAACACAGTTTTCAAAACTCTACGCACTTATCCCATGACTTTACTGTATCCACAACCTGCACAACACTGTGGATTTACAGCACTTTGTTCAAATGCTAACAAACTGCTGTCAAAACTGTGAACCGCACATTCTAAACAGAATAAATTTCAGCCTTGTGCCTTTCACACACTGCTGATTTTCAAACAATTTCAGCTGAAAGGCTAAAAACTTGTGGCCTAATGCTTGAGAGAGGCAGGGTTACAGTATTACAGTATGTACTTTTAGTTTCTACCTTTTTTTCTCATTACTATAATTCTGTAAATACTCCAGACTACAGTATTGAAGCAAACTGCAAATTTTCATTTACCTTAAAGAATTGTAATGTTCTAGAAATGTAAATACATCATGTGAAAGAATGTCACTCTTTTCTTTGAAGAAAAAAATACTTTGTATGAAGTCACTGAAATTGTTGAAACTGTAAAGATGAAAAGTTTGTATTTTCTGTATTGGTGTTTGATGCTAGTGTTTTTCCTCTCAGTGTGTTCTGAGTGACAGTGTGTTATCTCAGTGAGGGTTGTGCATAGTGTTGTGCACACTGAGCCTGTTTTGAGCCATGTGTTAAGAGTTGTGCTCAGGTGACTGTTGGTAATGCAGACTGTAGTTACAAGTTAGTTAAAAGTTTTGCACATTTAGCTTCAGTTGTGCTCACTGGCGTTTAGCAATCGAAAAAAAAAGAAAAAAAAAACCAAACAAACTGTAATATACAGAAAACAACTGTATTTTTGTGGTTTTCCAGTAGAGATGTCCAAACATCTTTCATCTAACATTTAATTATTTGACAAGAAAAATGAGGCTCGTTATAATGTCTTGAATTATTTTCTGTTTTTGTTTTATGCATAACTCTAACAAAACATGAAATTTATGCTTCCAACAAGGAAGGAAATGGCAGCACTTAATGTTAGTTATTTAAAACATAAATAAAATGGCAACTCAATTAAACAATGTTAACAGGTAGCTATTAAGTTGATTTCATTAATGTATTGGAAAATGATTCAATTAATAGTTTAAAGGTATTTAAGAAAAGGAATCTGTATCATAAAGTGTGTTACCAAGAAAAAAAAAACAAAGAAAAAAAAACATACCAATAAAGTAAGAATGATATCGATCAAGTACTCAGATATTTTTAATAGGTGACAAGACAGTTAATGATTGTTAATGATTGAGGAAATGATTTTACACCTATTACAGAATATTAGGGAAGAGGAAGTTTCACACCAATAAAATCTGAGGAACAACTAGCCTATGTATTGTGTATTAGTTTTAACATAAATATTTGGATTGCTTAATGATTGTTTAAATTGTTCCCTAAAAGGCAACTGCGACAACAATCATCCCAACAACTGATGCTTCAGTGAGTCAAAATACTACAACTCCGAACGCTAATTCAACAACTAATGCTTCTGCAACTACAGTTATAATTGATGAAACTATAACAACTTCATCTTCATCTTCATCTTCATCTTCACCGACACCTGAACTGAGCAACATGACCACACTGATGACTGGCACTATCACCACAGAACAGACCTCGACTCAGAATCAAACGACTCAGAATCAAACAACTCACTGGACTCAGAATGAAACAACTCACTTGACTCAGAATCAAACGACTCAGTTCACTCAGAATCCAACGACTCAGAAGATCCAAACGACTCAAACAACTCCTTCATCCAGCGAGTCTCTGAGAGTGTCGTTCATCATCTGTTCTCTGGCGTTCCTGCTGTTCACGCTAGTGATTTGAACTCTTCTGAAAATAACTCTATTGTATAACTAGACCGATACATGTAATACAATTGGCTTGACTGTGACGGAAAGCTTCTGCCGAATGCATACTGTACATGTAAGTGATGGAGGAGTCACAGTTGGCCATATGACTAGCATACTGAATAACAGATTTTTGTCTGATTTTTGATTGTCTTGATTTTTGTGACTGTATGACTTGAAATTAGAAATGAGCTTGACAATTTAAATTAGGTTTTCATAAAGAATGAAGCAGATATAGCCTACAGAACCTTCATTAAAAAGGGCTCGACGGATTTACGAGGTGAATCATTAATACAGTAATTATTGCATTAATCTGCGTATCGCTGATGTCACTGCTGTTCTTTGTACATGTTTTACTGTTTGACACTCTTCTGGATTAAAATAGTTGGGTCATTCCTGGTATGCGGTGACTTTTCCTGTCCCAATGATTTATATACTCATATTTTCTCTAAAATGAGTCACATATTTATAATAAATGGCTTAAATTGTAGATTTAAGTATTCTTTACAATTTAAACAGAGATACTAGACATTAAAAATACTATTTTGTATTTACACCATTTTTATTGATGTATGCATTCAATTATTTCATGTCCTCAACTTCTTCAAAAAATATAAACCAAGAAATGACAAAAACTTCAAAATATTTTTTAATTATGTTATATACTAGGCTAAATTGCATCTAATCATACATATAAATCATGTGAAAATATAGGTCTTTTTCTTAAAATTTTCTTAAATTACTGCGTCCCTGAAGTCATCTTCCACCCTGTTAGTATGTACTTTTTTGCCTTCCAAATCCGATTGCAATTTCATTGAGTCCATTTTCAAGAAGTGATTTAATTTTTTTTACTTGCTGGAATTCAACTGTACAAACTGAGGTAAGCTTTAACTCTCACTCCTATTTTTTTTTTTTTTTTTTTTTAGTTTTTGAGATGTTATCCTGCTTGTCACACCCTTAAAGTTCCACCCTGTTCGGCTTTGTTATGAAGAATGTTTGTCCTATCAAAAAAATTTTAAAACAAATCTGACATAGTTATAAAAGTTCTGTTAATTTGTAGAAGTTTAGCTAGCTAAATGTTGATCACTAAAAGAGCTATGGCTAACTTTGCTCAGAATTTTCCACCCTGTTAGGTTCCACCCTGTTAGGTCTATAAACCTAAGGTGGAAATTCTAATAGAATAAATTAGTATTTAATGCATATAGCAAATTCTATGTATGTATATATATATATACATATCTATATCTCTATATATCTATATTTATATCCTAATATCTATATCTATATCCTAATATATATATATATATATATATATATATATATATATATATATATATATATCAAAGATTGTTATATAAAGGTTATTTATATAGTATACCATCCTATGCTGAGATGGTTCTTTCCATTAGAGTTTAAAGTTCTTTTCCCCTGCCTTTTTGTTTTTCTTTTTATTTTGTTTGTTAATCTAGCGATGTAGCCAAAACACCACAAAGGGCATCACTGTCCATTACTGTTCCTTCTTGTGATGAATTTTGTATTTGTTTGTTAATCTAGTTAATTCAAATGAATTATATCATCTATATTTTTAATCAAATATAAATAAATAAAAATGTAATTTATTATGTCTGTCTTCTCTAATTTGTAAATATTTTTCTAGCCATCTGAAGAGAGAATTGTTTTGTTTTGCCCCCATGATTGATTATGATGAGGAACCACAGATAATTTTTTGTGTCCCTCCCCCAAAGAAAATTTGGATTTTTTATATTGTTATATTGTAGCATGAAGTGTGTTACCAAGAAAAAAAAACAAAGAAAAAAAAAACATACCAATAAAGTAAGAATGATATCGATCAAGTACTCAGATATTTTTAATAGGTGACAAGACAGTTAATGATTGTTAATGATTGAGGAAATGATTTTACACCTATTACAGAATATTAGGGAAGAGGAAGTTTCACACCAATGAAATCTGAGGAACAACTAGCCTATGTATTGTGTATTAGTTTTAACATTTATTTGAATTGCTTAATGATTGTTTAAATTGTTCCCTAAAAGGCAACTGCGACAACAATCATCCCAACAACTTTTGCTTCAGTGAGTCAAAATACTACAACTCCGAACGCTAATTCAACAACTAATGCTTCTGCAACTACAGTTATAATTGATGAAACTATAACAACTTCATCTTCATCTTCATCTTCACCGACACCTGAACTGAGCAACATGACCACACTGATGACTGGCACTATCACCACAGAACAGACCTCGACTCAGAATCAAACGACTCAGAATCAAACAACTCACTGGACTCAGAATGAAACAACTCACTTGACTCAGAATCAAACGACTCAGTTCACTCAGAATCCAACGACTCAGAAGATCCAAACGACTCAAACAACTCCTTCATCCAGCGAGTCTCTGAGAGTGTCGTTCATCATCTGTTCTCTGGCGTTCCTGCTGTTCACGCTAGTGATTTGAACTCTTCTGAAAATAACTCTATTGTATAACTAGACCGATACATGTAATACAATTGGCTTGACTGTGACGGAAAGCTTCTGCCGAATGCATACTGTACATGTAAGTGATGGAGGAGTCACAGTTGGCCATATGACTAGCATACTGAATAACAGATTTTTGTCTGATTTTTGATTGTCTTGATTTTTGTGACTGTATGACTTGAAATTAGAAATGAGCTTGACAATTTAAATTAGGTTTTCATAAAGAATGAAGCAGATATAGCCTACAGAACCTTCATTAAAAAGGGCTCGACGGATTTACGAGGTGAATCATTAATACAGTAATTATTGCATTAATCTGCGTATCGCTGATGTCACTGCTGTTCTTTGTACATGTTTTACTGTTTGACACTCTTCTGGATTAAAATAGTTGGGTCATTCCTGGTATGCGGTGACTTTTCCTGTCCCAATGATTTATATACTCATATTTTCTCTAAAATGAGTCACATATTTATAATAAATGGCTTAAATTGTAGATTTAAGTATTCTTTACAATTTAAACAGAGATACTAGACATTAAAAATACTATTTTGTATTTTACACCATTTTTATTGATGTATGCATTCAATTATTTCATGTCCTCAACTTCTTCAAAAAATATAAACCAAGAAATGACAAAAACTTCAAAATATTTTTTAATTATGTTATATAATAGGCTAAATTGCATCTAATCATACATATAAATCATGTGAAAATATAGGTCTTTTTCTTAAAATTTTCTTAAATTACTGCGTCCCTGAAGTCATCTTCCACCCTGTTAGTATGTACTTTTTTGCCTTCCAAATCCGATTGCAATTTCATTGAGTCCATTTTCAAGAAGTGATTTAATTTTTTTTACTTGCTGGAATTCAACTGTACAAACTGAGGTAAGCTTTAACTCTCACTCCTATTTTTTTTTTTTTTTTTTTTAGTTTTTGAGATGTTATCCTGCTTGTCACACCCTTAAAGTTCCACCCTGTTCGGCTTTGTTATGAAGAATGTTTGTCCTATCAAAAAAATTTAAAAACAAATCTGACATAGTTATAAAAGTTCTGTTAATTTGTAGAAGTTTAGCTAGCTAAATGTTGATCACTAAAAGAGCTATGGCTAACTTTGCTCAGAATTTTCCACCCTGTTAGGTTCCACCCTGTTAGGTCTATAAACCTAACAGGGTGGAAATTCTAATAGAATAATTAGTATTTAATGCATATAGCAAGTTCTATGTATGTATATATATATATATACATATCTATATCTCTATATATATATATCTATATCCTAATATCTATATCTATATCCTAATATATATATATATATATATATATATATATATATATATACATATATATATATCAAAGATTGTTATATAAAGGTTATTTATATAGTATACCATCCTATGATGAGATGGTTCTTTCCATTAGAGTTTAAAGTTCTTTTCCCCTGCCATTTTGCTTTTCTTTTTATTTTGTTTGTTAATCTAGCGATGTAGCCAAAACACCACAAAGGGCATCACTGTCCATTACTGTTCCTTCTTGTGATGAATTTTGTATTTGTTTGTTAATCTAGTTAATTCAAATGAATTATATCATCTATATTTTTAATCAAATATAAATACATAAAAATGTAATTTATTATGTCTGTCTTCTCTAATTTGTAAATATTTCTCTAGCCATCTGAAGAGAGAATTGTTTTGTTTTGCCCCCATGATTGATTATGATGAGGAACCACAGATATTTTTTTGTGTCCCTCCCCCAAAGAAAATTTGGATTTTTTATATTGTTTTGAAACAATATGTTATAGGTGCAGTTCTACACATTATCAATGGTAAACCATGCAGGACAATGAGAAAAGGCTCATCCACTGAACACTGGTGTTCCACCCTGTTATACTCCGTTCCACCCTGTTATGCTCCTTTCCACCCTGTTAGACAAGTCATTTTAAATAATAATTTGACAGCAACATTAAATGTTTGGCATACTTTTGTCTTATTTTGTGAGGTAAGGAGCACTAACAGCATATATATATATGTTTTTGAGCCATTTTTTATTGTTATTTACCATCCTATTTGCAAAGATGGGCACAAAAAGTACCAGTTTTTAATAATCAAGACATATTCTCTTCATCAAAAATTGTTTTGCTTGTTTCAAGAAGAAAAAAAAATCTAAGATGGCATAAGGGACATATACTATCCAAGAAAAGCTCATTGTTGTTTAACATTTACATCATTAACATGTTGTGATTACTATGTATATGTCCCTAACAGGGTGGAATATTTTCATGGGCATGTCTGAACAATCTACCCATAATTATTATTTTCAGAGTCCCTGAGCTTGACCAATATGTATACCTTATAGTTAAACATGTCAATATTTTGGTAGAATGTTAAAAACATGAAAATCATGTCCTTTTTTTTCCAACACTTATGAAGCCAAAATGTCACCGCATACCAGGAATGACCTAGTTGTCATTTATTTCCTTTTACTGGGTTTATGATTTAATGACATCCTAAACATGATTGAAGCCTTTAACAAAACTGTAAAGGCCAAACGAGTAGTTAAGCACTATTTTATAGCTGTAAGGTTTTATTATTACGGTGTCGGAATTTTATTTTGATAACCAAAGAAACCGGAAGTAAAGTGACGTAAATGAACCGTGCAAACGGCAGAAAGGACGAAAGGAAAGTCTGCCGTTTCTCAATGGGCTCTATGCACGGCGTTATTTCCGGTGAAGCATTAGGGATGCTCGATAACTTCCGCCGATCATAGAGTCCAATGCAATACCGAGAATTTATATTGAATTTTATACTCCATGGTTATACTAATGAAACATTAGTCACAAAAACAGATAAAACAGACACCCCTCGTTGTGTTTATGCTTCTTTTTAAAATTATATTAAATAAACATAACTATATA